ATAATATAGAGGGCGCCTGGGTGGCTCAGTCGTTGAGCGTCTGCCTTCGGCTCGGGTCATGATCCCAGGGTCCTGGGATCGAGTCCCGCATCGGGCTCCCTGCTCTGCGGGGAGCCTGCTTCTCCCTCTCCCACTCCCCCTGCTTGTGTTCCCTCTCTCGCTCTCTCTCTGTCAAGTAAATGAATAAAATCTTAAAAAAGAAATAATAATATAGAAATATATTATTATATATAAAATATATATATATACACATATATATGCTGTACAGCTATTCCTACAGTATCTTCTGAAGGACATACACTGTTGAACCCATTTTGGGGGGTTGAAACTTGAGGTCTACCCATATGAAGCCAAGTCCACAAATAGGGGCACCTGGTCCCTACCATGCCCGCCTGCCCTACATTCATTCTCCTTGAATCACCCTTTGGAGGGAGAAGAAAAAGCTCCCACAATCTTAGGACGAGACTGTTTGTTCTGCAGCCACGGCAACAAGGAAGCATCACAACCTCTTTCCAACCTGTTCAATCCATCACGGACCACAAACCGACCAATCTCTGAAAGCCGGCCAGCCGGGGATGGAGGCCCTGCCAGGCACCCGCGTCCCCGGTGCCAAGCAACCTCCAACGGTGCCACCTCCAGCTGCTGCCGATGGTGTCACCTCCGTGCGTGCGCCCATCCCTCGGCCGCATGCTTCCCCAAAACCCTCCGTGAGGGGTCGGCGGTCTGGCTCTGCTTGGCAGGGCTGTCCTTGCAGAGAGATGACCTCATCCCTGTGTTGCAGATACCGAGAGCTGGCCTCTCTGTCCTTGGGCGGGTGGCAACTCATCCAGCTGGAAGGGACGTCCCCAGGGAACTTGCCTTGAGTCCGTCACGGATGTGGACAGACCCTCCCACCCTGTGCATCTGGGAAAGAGGGTTTCCTGGGGCGCCTGGGTGGCTCAGTTGGTTAAGCGACTGCCTTCGGCTCAGGTCATGATCCTGGAGTCCGGGGATCGAGTCCCGCATCGGGCTCCCTGCTCAGCGAGGAGCCTGCTTCTCCCTCTGACCCTCCCCCCTCTCATGTACTCTCTCTCATTCTCGCTCTCTCAAATAAATAAATAAATCTTAAAAAAAAAAAAAAAAAGAGTGTTTCCTGAATCGAGAAGCAGGGAGATGGAGACTGCATCTGAGCAAAGTCTGTGAATGGGGTGAGCAAGGGGACGCTCATGCCATACCTACTAGTGAGCTTGGGACAGGTCTGTGAACCACTCACCGTGAACGCCTGATTCTTTGGAAGTTCACCCGCATGCCTTGGCCACGTTGTCCTTTCTGTTTTATGTCTACTATTAAAGCATGTCCTGATGTCTGTACGTCCTTGGAACCGATTCATTTGCATTGTGGTTAAATACGAATAACACAAATCGTACCGTTTGCATCCATTTGTGGGATGCCATAACAAAGGGACACAGAAATGTGTTCTCTCCCAGTTCTGGAGACAAATCAGAAATCAAGAATGTGGGCAGGGCTGGTTCCTTCTGGAGGCTCCAGGGGAGAATCTGCTCCCCACCCCTCTCCCAGTCCTGGTGGCGGCTGGCTGTCCTTCGTGTTCTTCAGTCTGTGGCTGCATCATCCAATCTCCGCTTCTGTCTTTATATGGTATTCTGCCTACGTGTGCATGTCTGAGCCCAGATGCCCCACTTTTTTAAATTGTAATATTTTATTTTTTTACATGATCTCTACACCCAATGGGGGGCTCAAACTTATAACTCAAAGACCAAGGGTTGCATGCTCCACTGACTGAGCCAGCCCGGTGGCCCCAGATTCTCCGCTTTTATAAGGATACGAGTCATATTGGATTAGACTCCCATCCTCCCTGAGTATGACTTAATTATATCCACAGTAGCTCTAATTCCAAATAAAGTCACATTCTGAGGTGTGGGTGTTAGGATCTCAACATACGAATTTGAAGAGGACACAACGCAACTGATAAAACCATTGTAATCACATTAGAGTGCACCATCCCGTGGCATTTTGTGCATCCACCATGTTGTGCAACCACCACCTCTAGCTCCAAGAACTTTTCATCCACCCAAGAAGAGACCTCATCCCCATTAGGCTCTTACTCCCTGTTCTGTCCTCCCTGCAGCCCCTGTCAAACAGCAGTCTGTTTTCTGGCTTTATATTTAACAGCCGGCCTCTGTGGGCATTTGCAAATCTTTGTGGGCAAAGACACTTTCCAAGGAATGCCTGACCCTGCTGAGACGGTGCAGATGTCTTATCAGGTTTGGAATGGCACCCCCTCTCTGGTTCTGTCTGCGTAAAGGGCACACGGGAGCTTAGATGACCTCATTCTCAGATGGTTTAATATTTTGACCATTTAGATGACCACATGACAGGGCAGGCGTTTCAAGCTTGCCCAGTTAAAACCAGCTGAAGACAAGCCAATCCATTCCCTTGACGAGGAGGAGATAAACAGATGTGATCATGGTGATGAGTTGCAAGTGTAACAAGGTAAGAAGAATGTGAAGCCTGTGGGTGACGGAGTCACGGTTTTGTTTTGAGGGAGCTAAAAAGATAAGAGTCAAGGCTTGGTTAAAGTCAGGGATGGTCTTGAGTGTTTTGTGCATATAAGGAATGTCCCTCAAGTGAAAAGTGGACAATTATCATTTCTAAGTATCTGCCCTGCCTTCTTCTGGTCTGATGGTGGCTGCGAAGAGAAGGCTCCCGTCTCCATCCTGCCTGCATCTGGAGCCCTAGTGGGATCTCACATATTTGTGTTGAATGAGCAAACGGACTCAAGGCAACGCCATGGCATAGACAAGCCTGGCTGCTTCCAAAAATCTTTAGGCTCCAACACATTTCATTGGAAGCTGAGGGTTTGCCTTATGTTCTGCTCCATGAACATCTAGGCAACAAAGACGAGACTCAGATTTCCTTGACCACCAAATCAAAACAGGGAATTTGCAAAGGGAATGTTTCGGATTTCTAGTACGCTCTTCTCTCTCGTTGCCGGGCTTCACTGCAAGAATACCGGTGTTTTCTCTTGCTTTGTTCTCGGTGTTGGGTTTTGATGATGAGATCAGATGACCTCTGAAGCGTGAACGTGTTTTAATATGCTATCACGGAATTCAGTTGACGATTTGGTTGATTTAACAGCATAGTGATGGAAATTGCATTTATGGAACAATTATCAGGTGCCTGGCACAGGGAAGGTTAAGGAACACCATTAGTTAAGTAGGATGGAAACGTCATTGTCAAGATTGTGCCACCCCTTGGTCCACGCGGGTTGGGGAAGCTCTGCCGTGCTCAGAATCACTGGAAGGGCGCTACATTAAGGACACCCATATCAAGCGAACTTGTAAGTTCCCATAATCAAAACAGAGTAAAACAATACATCGAATGTTTAAACATACAAAAGAAGAAAAGAAAACCATCTTAGATCCCTTTAAGGGACCATCTCTTGCAACACAGAATTCTACTCATTAGAAGAGAAGCCGCACAATGATCCCCACAGATGCTCCTTTTTATGATTTGCTTTAACCAGTGCCAGGATTTTTTAAAAGTTTTGGATGGCCCCACGTACAATTAAATTCAACGTCACAAACCCAGTGCCATGTCATCAATGAGTTAATGAGTATCGCTGGAAAATGTCCAGTGTTTGAAAACTTCTTCACAACCCCAGAGGAATCCATAATTTGGGAATGTGAACCGATCCCCTTCTAAATTAGGCCAACGGAATTTCTTCTGGTGAAGTCTGGTCAAGCTGTTGAGACAAATTTTTTTGGCGGCGAGCTTGCCATGTCTGTGTTTCATCATTCTTTTCTTTCAATGTGATTTTTTTTTAAGTTCTTTATAAATTAAAGCACAACTTGAAAGTTCACATGAGGTAAAATAAATATGGTGGCCATAAGTTTCTAGCATAACCAAGCAAGAAGTGTTTCTTATTTATAGGGGCGTGGTTAAACCAGATCTCTCTGTAGACGCGAGGCAAACTCAACTCCCAAGTGCATCCACTTTTGTTCACTTTATATATAGTACAGTTAAAAATATTTTTGTATTGTCTTGAGAAGAAGACCACCCCGCTCAAAAGACTATTCCTAAAAAGGAAAAAAAAAAACTCGGAGACGTGCCGTGAAAAGTTCCATTCGTCCCCCCTACCCCCGACAGCTGGCTTGTGTGTGAGGCAGACCTAAAAAAAAAATGGTAGCTGGGAAAATGCATTGTTGGGTTGACTTCCTTTGTTTTTAAAGGAAAACTTCTTTAGAAAGCACATATTGTGTTTCGTTGGGGGGGGGGGGTACTAAGAAATGGTAAGAGTGTAAAATAAATGTTAATATGGAGATGATTGGAGGAGGAGGCTACCTGTGTTCCTTTTGGCTCAAAGGGAAGGGCCAAGACTGGGAAGGGGCTGGTGATTTATATGCTTACACTTTCTCATAGAAGACCCACATTGTCGTCCCCAGTGCTTCCTTGCTCCGACAGGTGAGAAAGCTCAAATTCGGGTAAGTGATAAACTCAAGAGTTGACCCGGATGTGTCTGGTGGCAACACAAGGGTTTGCTGGCTGCCTCTGGAAACTGAGGCATCCCTTTATTGAACGTGTGAAAAATGGTATATGCATGCCGCTGTGCCCAGAAGCATAAAGGCGGACCTGATGAGCGCCAGGAATCCCGAACCCATCTCCAAGTCTGGAAGCGCCTTTCATGCAGTGAATGCCTTCCTCTTTGCCCGGCACGCCGTCTTCTGGAAAACCGGAAAGATGAGATGTTCCCCCGTAATTCACAGACACGTCCGATGCAGAAACACCGTGGGTCTCGATGACTGGGTTGGAGGTTTGCCCTGGGTGTGGACATCCTAAACCGAAGGGGTTGAGGGAAATGCGTAAATTTTGACTGGTAAGCTACTGCCCGTGTAGGTATTTAGAAAACAAGTCAGTGTGTCTGATTTGTTTCAGATGTTCCGTCGCCCGAACGAGCAAGTTCAGCCCGCCTCCGCTGAGTCAGGAATGGGGAATCTCTGGATCCACCTACCTGGCCGCGTTGTCCTAAGCGCTGGAGAGACACAGCCCTGCAAAGGAATTCGTGGAAGTCTTGCATCCATTTTAGAAGGCGCGTAAAATGAGACGACTGAGGGTAAGGGAAACGGGGAGACGTCATCCAAGCTGCACGCATCTGGTTTTGATTGGGGCCGTATTTTTATGTTCATCGTGCAGCTTTCGTTTTGCAAGGCTCTGGTGGCTGAAGGCATGTCGGGGATGCAGCTCTGTTCCCCACGGGCCGCGTACCGGCTGCCATCCCTGAGACCGTGTCCCGTGCTTTTATGAAAACGACAGCAAAGCCCCGTCGCCTCGTGTTTGCAGAGCCTTGAACAAATCCTTTGTCGTGGTGCCCCCGCGTTTGGGGTGGCGAAGGGTTCAGGGTCTTAGTCGGGAAGGATGGGGCTTGGAGGAACGCCAGGATCACCCCCCACACACCCGCCCCAGGCGCTGTTCGGTAGGTTGAGCCCGGTTCATCACAACGGCTGCTCAAAAGGTCAGTGAGGTACAAACAAAGTACAGACAAAGCCGAGATCTTTTGTTTTTTTTTCAGTTCACACTGTATCCGGAATCATGACTTTTTTGCACGAGTGAGACTTGATTTTCTTGGTCTTCCCAGGCCCGGAAGACACACAAAGCACAGACTTGAAAGGAGAAGGTGGTGCTGTCGGTGGGGATGAGCCTGTAAGTGACTTCTCTGCGGCCGACTCTCCTTCGGGGGGGCAGCAGGGAGGAAGCAAGTCAAGTTCAGCTGCAAAGAAAGAAGAAAAAAGCTTAGAAATAGGAGGGATTGTCTGTCCTTCCTTTGAAGTCGGGATTCACCCTAAGCAACTTTCTTGCACACTTTCTTCTTATGATGCTTCCTAATCCTGCTTTGTGTATTTACGAGCCAGGCTGTTAGCTGCAAAGATGTTTGGCGTTTTTATAACTTTTTGGTGACATTTTTTTTTAATCACCTTGTGCTAACCTTTATGGTAAGAAGTGTTTTGGGCGCCTGGGTGGCTCAGATGGTTAAGCGACTGCCTTCGGCTCAGGTCATGATCCCAGGGTCCAGGGATCGAGTCCCGCATCGGGCTCCCGGCTCAGCGGGAAGCCTGCTTCTCCCTCTGCCCTGTCGCCTCTCATGCTGTTTCTCTCTCGCTCACTCTCTAAAAAATAAATAAAATCTTTAAAAAAAAAAAAAAAGAAGAAGTGTTTTTACTTTTTTTTTTTTTTAATCCCTTAAAGGCTTTCTTCCTTGACGTGAGTATGGCTACCGGAAGTTTGTGTTCTAATGTTCCCATTTGTTTTATCGTTTGCCCATCTTTGCTCTGAGCTTCTCCCCGTGAAGCCTTTCTCCGTGATTGCTTTCAGTCCTTTGCAAGTAACAAGGACCTCGATGATTTTCAGCCCGATCCTAAGAGTTCAAATTGATGAAGAGATACTTCCGGTCCGTTGCTATGGATGGGACTTGACAGTAGTTCTCAATTCGGTTTTGTGTATTTATTTCCTACTTTCTATTAACCGTCCATTTCCTTGGCTTCTGTCGATTCTGGTTCTGATAAGGAGGTTTTTATTTTTAACAATCCCCCCCCTTTTTGCAGGGAAAGTTGTGTTTTTCACTGTGCGTTATTTCCGTGATGAGCTGTTGATGGAACGTGCATCGTGACCTGAGCGGACCACGAACGAAGCCACCTGATCCCCCTCTCGTGGAAGAAATGATTCGTGTTCACCGGAGACTTGCCTGTGTGCACCCGAATCATCCCCAGCCTTGATGAGATCTCCACCATGCTCGTCGCCGTCCATGAGTCACGGTTATTTTGTTGTTGGTGCTGGTGGAGGCCCCCGGGTGGATGAGGGGATGAGGTCAGCGTTCATGGGGACTGATGCTCCCGCTCCTTCCGTCCGCTGCTCAAGGACACACGTCCCGCTCCATCTCCCTTCCTCTGACGTGGACACTTGCCTTCGGCAATCCCAGCAGGACGGGGGCCCGTGAGAGCAAACGCTCTCCGTGCATTTCCTCCGCACTCGGGAGAGACTCTGCTCCATGCAGAAGGTCAAGCAGCCCGTGATGCCCCTCCTGGGCCCTGCACACACACACACACACACACACACACACTGTCCCCGTTTTCAGCTCCTCCTGATGCTGCATCTTCTCCAGGTCCCGCCAGCTACTTGGGAGGCGACCTGCGTTTTTCACTCTGGCTATTGGAAGACGTTCTCCTCCTTGTGTTTGGACGCCCACCGCCGTGTTCCTCAGATGCAGCTTGGTTATGTGTTTACGTTTCGTACCACGCATTTTGAGTCGGAGAAGGAAAGTATTTTCCATGAACCTTGGAAAACGAGCCGTCGTTGTTTCTTCAGATATGACTCAGCCCTAGCTTTCCAAAAACACTCCTTCCTCCCCGGCGTGTTGGGAACGTGTTGTCCTTTGCTCCGTGACTTTTAAACTTGTCGTATTTAGCATTTTGTCTTTACTTCCCGGAGCTCAGAATGAACCCCCCTGGCTTCCCCATTGCTTTTTTTGTTTTGCTTTGTTTTAATGAGTTCTTGGGGTTATTTCAACAAATAGATGTACATACACGTGCATGTGTTTACATATGTGTGCACATGCATGCATGCAAAATTCGTGTGTATATACATGTCTGTGTGTATGTGTACATGCATCCGTATACACATAGATCTATGTTTATATACATATATACGTACAAATATATTTTATTCTTTCTGAATCTGTTTGGGTTTTTTTGTTTTTGTTTTTGTTTTTTTCAGAAGACCCTGCCTCCACGTTCATCATGATTTTAGCATCTCTTTACATTTCAAACACTTTAAAAATCAGGGCTTCACGTGGGCGCCTGGGTGGCTCAGTTGCCTTCGGCTCGGGTCATGATCCTGGAGTCCCGGGATCGAGTCCCGCATCGGGCTCCCTGCTCGGCGGGGGGTCTGCTTCTCCCTCTGACCCTCCCCCCTCTCATGTGCTCTCTCTCATTCTCGCTCTCTCAAATAAATAAATAAATTTATAAAAAAAAAAATCAGGGCTTCACGTTCTCATTCAGATCGCCGTGTTATCTGCTGGGTTTTTTGAGAGGGATACACCCGCATTTTGCTGAGGCTCTGGATTCTAACTCACTGTAAAATATTTCGTCGTGGGGTTCGGCAAAGTGCAAAAGACCGTCTCAGCATGGACGTGCGTGTCAAGCATTCGAAAGGGCATATTTAATTTTGTCTTTAGAAACTGCACACCTGCAGGGATCCGCGGCAGGGAGATCGATCTCTCTGGGTGCTGGGCGTGAGCGGACGCCTGTGTAGGCTGAGACACAGACCTGAGGCCCTGCACGGCAGTCTGGGGGAGACGCAGGTGGGCAGCAAGCTGGGGCCTGCCCTGCAGCTGCACATGGGGCCACAGTGAGCTCCCCGGGTCCCCCACCCGGCCACCTGGCATCTCGCCCTTTTGGTTCCCCACAGGGCCAGCCCCGCTGTGAGCAATTCCGGCATCTCCAGAAACGATGGCCCCTAAGGGCAAGGCATGGTAGTGACCGCTGAACCCAGTGTTCAGTGACTTCCACGGGAGGCCACCCGACCGTGGGAACCCTCGTGCCGGATCCATGCACACCTCGGAGGCCTTTGAAGAAAAACTGCAGGGCCATCCGGCTGTCCTCCCCAGGAACGGCAGTGAGGGGTGGCGTGTTCTCAGGAGATGGCCCTCGATCTGGGCTGACCATTCAACCACGCAGCTCGAGCCGTGAGATCCATCACCCACACAACAGCGGCGGCTCAGGGGCCCCCAGGAGAGCCAGAAATGAACTCGGCACGCAGACCCTTAGAGACACAATCCACCCGCATGCACACACTCCAAAGGCAAACAGCAATCCCCGTGCTGGAGGCTTTGCAAAGGGCAGGCAGTAGGGTCCCCGGGTCCCCAGACCCGCATTCGGGGAGCCCCGTGGCGCCCCTTGCCCTCCCCTCCAGCAAGGCTGCAACCTGCAATCCTGAAGACGCTGGACAGCCAACACAGGCTTTCTTCCTGCCAACCGTGGGCTGTGCAAGGTTGTGCTCTCGGGAGAAACGTTGGCCGGCGCACTGTGTCTACTAAAGGATAATTGCGGTTTGCTTCCCCCTGCCCCCCAACAAAAAGAGCAACAAAAAGAAATGAAATATTGTTGCAATCCACAATCTGGATGTCACAGGGAGTGAAAGGGGTCAATCCCGAAAGCTGCACGAATCCAGCAATAGAACGTCCCAGAAATGACAAAACAATGGAGCGAGAGAGCAGACGGGTGGTTGCCAGGTCTTAAAATAGGCTTTTGCACATGGGAGGGAAGTGGGCTTCATTCTAAAAGAGCAGAGTAGGGGATCCCGGGGATGGAATGCTCTGTGTCTGGATGGTACCAAAGTCAATGTCCTAGTGGTGAGATGGTTTGGCAAGATGTTGCCATTGAGGCGAAACTAGGGGAAGGATACGGAGATCTTTGGTATCGTTCCTTACAGCTGCACCTGAATCTGAAACGATCTCAAACTTAGACATTTAATTAAAATTTCTCAAAGCTATAAGAAAAAACGAAAATGAAGAAGTACAGATCCGTCCACTATCCTTCCTTCTCAATATGCAAAGGGATAGTAGGATATCTTTTGTCTACAAACGCTGGCTTTCGAAATGGCAGGAGTATCTTGAAGGGGATTCACGCACACAGAAAATAATGGAAGAGGCAAAGTGGAGGAGTGATGCTGCTATTCTAGCAGGTGTCCGCCCGTCTCCTGGAGCTTGGGACCTCTTTGCATCCGTGCAGTTGCGAGCCCGCGGTGTGAGCGCGTTGACGGGATGCGAAACGCGACCTGCACATATCTCGATATGAATTAGCTCAGAGCCCAAACACGAGTCGAGCGATGTCCCTGCTCCTCAGTCTTCACGGGATAGAGAACACGGTTAATTAGGACTGAAATCACAGGTCGGTGTGATGTAAGCAATGCTCAAGTTCTACCCTGGAGATTTTATGAGCTTCTCTTAGGGATTATCTGACTGGCACTGGGAGGGGGCGTGCAAACACAGGAGGAGGCAGATTGCTAATTTACGATGAGCATCGTTTCGCATTGGGATAATAGACATGAACACCCAAGGGCTCTGATCTCGTCTGCAGTGTCTTAAAGAAGTCGCAGCCGACACAGACCTTCCCATCAGTTTTATCAGCCCTGGAATGACGGAGGGCCTTTGCAAATTCCTTCCTCCAGCGCTGAGCCCACATCCCATGCATTTGTCCTAGGACACCGGGCTGGCTGTGGACTCATGTATAGTCTAGTTTTCTTTGACAGAGTGGAAATTCTTTTGAGAACCCGTTCGCAGGTTTATAAAGTATTAAGTGTTTTCAGAGTCTTCCATCTTCCCTCAAAAAACCCCCAAAAAACAAAAAACCGAAACCATGTATCTGTGACATCGCTCATGAAATTCTCCCCTTATCGGTGGAGGCTGGCCATGCCACGCCAGGCGGCTCTGCTCTCAAACAGGATGTTGAGACAGCTCTCGGGCAAACCATGGCTGCAGATTTCCAGGAGAGCTGAGTGCAACCTGTTTACCCGTGGTGATGTGGGACCTCAAGAAGAAATGCAAACTGAGAATCATTAACTCCATGCCACATGGAGAGTGTTATCCGCAGGGTGGAAAATTACATAACAATGCATTTGTCAAAAACCGGCAAGTTCCCTTAACACTTTCAGAAGGAGAGCCATATAATGCAAGGTGGTGTTCCTTAGGATTTAAGATAGCATTGTGCTTTCTCCCTGTAAAACCCTACAAGAGTTTTTGTTCCCACACAGTCTGGATTGCTCAGAATCAGCTGCTTCGTAGGGTGTTTCAGGATTAACACTCGTGGGTGAGCAGGAATACAGCCATGCTTTCTGGAAACTCTGGTTTTTTTCTACTCTGTGCCCACGGTCTCCTTGCCCTGTGCCTGAAACATATCATGGGGTCTGCCGTATCGCCCCTCACCCCCCCGGGTCGTAAATTCTGAAGTCCGAGCTTGCGAAAGTAGAAGTCAAAACCTAACATGAAAACATGATTCACGTTCTGAGGATCTAAATCCCATAAACATTTTGCTGGTTTTCCTCTGATCTGACACAGCGATGGGCTGGTGCCTCCAAGCTAAGAAATTAATCAGGAACTGATTTTTTTTTTTTTTGCAACGGATGAATCACTAAAATGTACCCCTGAAACTAAAAAAAAAATAAATAAAAATAAAAAACTGATCTTTTTTTGTTCTACCAATTATGTGACCCTAAAAATCAAAAAACAAGAAGAAACTTCTGGTTCTTAATATCCTGGTCTGCATCCGCTTATCTCCAAAGCTCCTTCCAGCTCCAGTGACGCTTGAGAATAATTCTGTCACTTAAAACATGAGGAAAACAGAAAACAGATACACGTTCTTCCTCTTATCTTGCTCCCCCTTTGAAACATTTACGAACTTTTAACGTTCAAGTCATCATAGATTAAAGAGGTGTTGTCAAAATAGCATATAGGGCGGTCTGTCTCTTGTATGTGGTTTATGTTTTAATATTTACCAGGGAAGCGTTTACCAATATGCACACTATTCAGATTAGCACATTATTCAAATCAAATTTCATCGGATTCCTTTATGCATCCACTGCCCAAATTCCCATACCCTTTAACCTTACCTTATACATCACCTGTCTTAATCAACGACTGAGATTTACTATTATGTTATATATTATAGTAATTGTATCATATCATATTAAAATATATGGTATTGATTATATCATATTGTATTACAACTTTATATTATTATATTATGTTATATTATATTATTTTTTTATATGCAACTAATGAATCGTGGAACACTACATCAAAAACTAATGATGTAATGTATGGTGACTAACTGAACATAATAAAAAATATTATATTATATTATTATATTATCATATTATGAGCATGCTCTTATCTCTGGGGTCCAATGCTAGTCTCTGGATCCCAGCTAGAGTGACCACAAGCAGTCCAGCCAGTATTTATCGTCTTAGGCCCAGCAACAGTGTTTGTGAGTCTCTGCTTTTAACTGGTATTGTTTATACAATTGTTCAAAGGTCTGTTGATCTAAGCAAATTTATCCAAACAAATGCCTTTAGGGTGGTAAGAAGCAGCCCTTTGGGTAGGATCAGACACACACTTGAAAAATATCAAACTTCTGCAAGAACTGGCCTCTTGATTTTAAGGTAGAATTGTCAGCATTACCCAGAAAATGCACCAATCTAAGAATGAAAACCTGATGGGGTTGTGGGGGGTGTAGGGGGAATGTGAGTCTGAAGGAAGGCAGACCAACCAGAGATGGGGCTCCTTTTTCAAAATTATGATGTTCAAAGTTCTGCTCATCTCTTCCTGGAGTCTGTGACTTCAGACTTTATACGTACTTCCTTTTATCAGAAGAAACTTTTTTTTTTAAGATTTTATTTTTAAGCTCCACACCCGACATGGGTCTCCAACTCACAACCCCAAGATCAAGAGTCACAACACTCCACGCACTGAGTCAGCCAGGCGCCCTGTAGAATGAACTTTAATATGTGATTCTTTTAATTATTGTGAAATTAATATGCTCACATCATAGCAAACTTGGAAAACACATATTAAAGCATAGATTTGGCAAATCTATCAAGACAGAAAACAGATCGGTGGTGGCCGGGAAGCTGGGAGGGTTGGGTGGATGTTAATGACAACAGGGTTCCTTTCTGGGGG